ATTTACTAGTAAAAGTTTAAATTTCAATATCAGATGGAAACATTACTTATTCCATAAGAGATTTCAAATTAATTTCATTTTTCATATGGTAACATTAACATAAGATTGTTATAATTACATTAGCAAAAATGCACAAAAATTCAGATATACCAGCAACCAACACAAATATTTGGTCCATTGTGTAACTATTTAGTTAGCTTATGTAATATTATATTTTATATATAAATTATATACTCCTAACAAACAATTCTTTAAAACCAATAAATGCATATTTCACATAAATAATACTTGTGAGATTTCCTGAGCATCCATTAAAAAACGGGTAAGTATTTGTTTGAATACTTAGTTATTTGATACAAACAATTTCAGTATGAATAATTCAAATACAAATTGGTTAAGGCTTTCGCGGCCCGTTGATAAGCTATTATCTTGGTTCGGGTTTAAAGGCCGTCGTCGATTGGAATTACTTCCTAACGTTTCGCTAGCACGAGTGGCGAGCTTCTTCAGAGGTCCTTCCATCTCCGATGTTGGACGTAGACTGACGATTTCTCCTGCGCAGGTTGTATTTATGCCGATTGGTGGTGGGCGGGACTTGTTCCGCTTCGGTTGGTCTCGGGATATCGATCGGTACTGCTCGGGCGTTCCTAAGGATCGGGTTCCAGATTTGGTTGAGTCTAAGGGTCTCCTCCTTTCGGTTGAAATTGTGTGGGTGTTTTTGTATCTCAATGGCTTCCCTGACTAGTCTGTTGTGATAGCCGTTGACCGATGCTAGTAACTTACAGCTCTCAAAGTGTATCCTGTGTTCCCCGCTGCCCAGTGCGTGTTCAGCTACTGCAGACTTCTCTGTATGTTCTAGCCTGCAGCTTGCTTTATGCTCCTTAAGTCTCGTTCCCATTGATCTCTTGGTAGTCCCGATGTAGACCTTTCCGCATGAACACGGAATGCGGTAGACTCCCGCAGCTGAAAGTGAGCCCCTCTTGTCCTTCGCTGACCTGATGGTCTGCTGGATCTTCTTTGTAGGCTTAAAGATTGTTTTGATGTCGTGTCTTTTCAATACTCTGCCAATCCTGTCGGTGACACTCGGAATATACGGCAGATATGCGTGGGAGGTGGAGGGTCGTTGTTCGGTATCCCGTGATCTTGATGATCTTGAGTTCATTGATCTCTCGATCTCCCTCTTGCTGTAGCCATTTGCCTCGAACGCAGTTTTTAGGTGTTCAAGTTCCATCTGGAGGTTCTCCGGTTCGCAAATCCTCGCAACGACCCTCCACCTCCCACGCATATCTGCCGTATATTCCGAGTGTCACCGACAGGATTGGCAGAGTATTGAAAAGACACGACATCAAAACAATCTTTAAGCCTACAAAGAAGATCCAGCAGACCATCAGGTCAGCGAAGGACAAGAGGGGCTCACTTTCAGCTGCGGGAGTCTACCGCATTCCGTGTTCATGCGGAAAGGTCTACATCGGGACTACCAAGAGATCAATGGGAACGAGACTTAAGGAGCATAAAGCAAGCTGCAGGCTAGGACATACAGAGAAGTCTGCAGTAGCTGAACACGCACTGGGCAGCGGGGAACACAGGATACACTTTGAGAGCTGTAAGTTACTAGCATCGGTCAACGGCTATCACAACAGACTAGTCAGGGAAGCCATTGAGATACAAAAACACCCACACAATTTCAACCGAAAGGAGGAGACCCTTAGACTCAACCAAATCTGGAACCCGATCCTTAGGAACGCCCGAGCAGTACCGATCGATATCCCGAGACCAACCGAAGCGGAACAAGTCCCGCCCACCACCAATCGGCATAAATACAACCTGCGCAGGAGAAATCGTCAGTCTACGTCCAACATCGGAGATGGAAGGACCTCTGAAGAAGCTCGCCACTCGTGCTAGCGAAACGTTAGGAAGTAATTCCAATCGACGACGGCCTTTAAACCCGAAACAAGATAATAGCTTACTTCAAATACATTTTTCCAAAATTTGCTTGGCCATCGTCAAACAAATATTTCTTTAAAACAACTAAGAATTTTTTTCAGACTATTGTTTTTTTCAGTATACATAAACCACGTTTAAACCCAAATTGAGACATGCCAACGTTTTCTTCATATTTGATGAATATTCTGAAATCAACAATTTTCAGGAATAACCTTGGCTTGTTAAACTGATCGTTCTGTAGTCTTTGCAATACCTGCACTTAGCTTTCTTGGCCAAAGCAACGAAGGTTGACTGGTGTCTCTAGGGATTACTCCGATCTTGAATATGCAATTGAGCAAAACTTGAGCAAAAGTGTGAGCGAGCAATCTTCTTCCGACGTTTTGAAAGCCTCTATCTGAATTCCATCTGAGACTTTACCTCCTTCGAACGATGAAAATTAAAACTAAACAGAAACTGATGAATTCTTTGTTATATGATTCGAAGTTTCTGCCGCCGAAATCCAAAAACAAAAATTTTAAAAACCGGTTGCCAACATCCCCATACCGATGCCCGCCTCGGAACATACGTTTTTTTTATTTATTTTTCGGAGTCTGAAAGATGTTATTTTCCGAGATGGCCAAAATGAAATATTCATTGCCGATTCGCATGAACGCTTCGGTAGATCCATCCCGATACAAAAAAAAAATCGGAAAACAAATTAGATTTAAATACGAATCAATTTTCCGACGTATTCTTATTAAGCTGGCACCCTAATTACGAACAATGGCGGTCACAGAATTCCTGCCGAGGCTCTTATTCTTGATCGCGATTGAATAGAAAGAAAAGAAAGTGAGGGTGTTTATGCGAACCAATAGAATTATTTCCCGGTCCCTTATGTTATTTTAGAAACATAATTTATTATTATGGGACCATATTTTGCGCAATGATGACAACGGAATTATGTAACCTTAAACCTTGTCCAAAATGATCGCTTTTTATTGTATAATTAAAATTTTGAATAGCTGTTTCGTTTGACTAAACCAGTTTGCCAGCAACTTATCAAAGTGCTTCACCCTTTTTTATTTGATTTTGTGCTTAAGTTTTGTAGAACTCTAAAATACACAAGCAAATACGCAAAGGAATAGTAGAATATAAAAATATCCACACTCCAGCTATTAAGGACGCATTACGTGGACTAAATAAATGAAAGAATGAGTTAGCGAGACCTACGGATGATTGGTGAATCGTTTCGGTGAACCCTGCCAATATGGTTAGCGTATTCATTCAAGGTGGCTTCTAACAAAACTGCAATAAAGAATTATCAGAGGACGAACTGGTCGATGCGAGAAACAAACGTCAACCTTTCACGAAGATCTCGTCTCTTATCTATTGTGGCTAAATTCTAAGCATTAAGTTTTAGTTTGCATTTTGAATAGAAGATTTAACAGAAGAAACGTCAATACAACCAATGATAAGTCGGCCTAAAGTATGTATTTGACAACGGTGCTGTGCGTTCTTCCATTTTTTGTCTATTCCCTTTTATTTGAGAAGACAAAACGCGGAATAGTCGCGGAAATGTCCGAAGTGGCTCGGATCCGCGAGAAACGAAACTGACGTAAAGTCACGCTTCCCGCACGCTAGATCGGTGTGTAATTGGGCATTTTACAGACTGGAGTAGAAAAAAATGTTTTCGATAGATTTTAACCATAGTATTTTGACGTTTGTCAGTTCTGAAGGCAAGTCACTCTAAGCAAAGTAATGTATTCGTGCTCTTTTTTGTTTCTTTTGTGCGCACCCAATAAAAACCACCGTCTACGTATTTCACTCCTCACCGGCAGCAACAGAGGCGCGGGAAAAGAGATAGGTAGTCGCGCTCGTAACCTCCAGTTAAACAACTTATACATTATTCTGTAAACTCTGACACTATTAAAATAATTAAGAAAGGCAACTATTTTAAAAATGCACACATTGTTACTTGATAGATGTTAGCAACCAAAATATTTTTAGGAAATGGTTACAGTTAGTTCTGTAGAAATCATAATGGAACACCTAACGTATCTGCATATCGGCAATATCGATGACGAGAATGACAAACATTAGGGTGACATATGTCGATACAATTATCTGGTGTTCGGGTATTTGCATACCGCGTTGGACATTATAATCGAATCAGCGAAAATTTGCAGCGCTCGTTTAGAGATACAAACCAAAATTTTACAGTACGTTTCATTTAAAACTACCATTTCTCTAATTTCTAGAGTGAATGAAATACGAAATTTCAACGATATTTTGATTAATACATATGCAGCAGCATACAGCAGAAAATGGATCTTTCGGAAGATACGGGTTGGGTAAAAGGGGCTCCTAGAACTCGTTCTTTTTTTAATTAATTTCGAAAAGGTTTAAATTGATATGATATTGATTGATTGAATGATATTTTTCATTTTAGTTCTTTCCGAACATCATTATGACAGCATTACTTGCTGAAACCTCAAATAACTCCACTAACTAAACAGTTTTTTTAAATTTAAAGAGTATCTTTTTTGTGGCAACTTCTTCAATAAATATCATGCAAAAATTTTTAGATAGGCTAGAGTACAAAATTTTGCTAGCAGTAACATAGCACACATTTCATTTAGATAAAAGAAAATGGCATTTTATTAAGAGGACATACCTAACAGCTCTGTTCAAGAGTGTGGCAGTGTTCAATTGTATTCTATGGGATGTAAAATAGACTCAGGAATATTTGTTTGTGTTTTTTCTTTTTCTAAATTCCTATGCATTAATGTTTGTATTATGTTGGTATGTATTCACAATGTTTCCATTTCATTATGCTCTACCATTCGCCTGCAGATCGGTGTAAGTAAATGAAATGAAATAAAAAAGATACATAAGAAAAATTTTACTGATTAACGGTTTGGCAAAAACGAAACTAACAAATAAATTCTTTAAAAAATAACATCTTGAAACTACTTAGTGCTAAATTCCATATATCTGATCGCGACCGATTCCTTCGAATCAGTACCGGCCCGAGGACAGAGTCCTGCGGGTCACCCTCTGACGCGGGCCTGCGCCCTTACCTTATTCTAGGCGACGACGTACGCGAAAAATTCAACCCCCTTTCTTACAGGCACGGGACGAAACGTTGCGAACGCATAGAACCTGCGCGAACTGCACCGGATCGGTTAACGACTTGCACCAACTGATTCGACCGCGTGGTACTCTGGATTCGACGTCATAATTACACAGACAACTCCCGTCGAGTCTGGGGGAACACTATCTTACGTTTGTCCGGCGCGGGAACGCTTCTAGGCGTCGCGACGCACGCGTCGACGTTCCCCCGCGGATCCGCGCTTTCCGCGTCCCAGAATGAACACCACACAGATGCAACAAGCTTCGAGCCTTCTGCAAAAAGATACAGCGTGGTCAGTAAAAAAAAGTAATCAAATTATCGCAAAAATTACCTCTAACAAAATCGTACCACCACTTGAGGTATGATAGTCTCAATATGCACACTAAATTCATTTGGATGAGGTTCACCTACACAAACATGTAGAATTATGTAGAAATCTGGGTATTTTCCAATTTAAGCATGCTGAATATAGAGCACTATTAATTAGTCTATTCAAAATATCCCCAAAAAATCGCAAATTGGATTTTTTTTCATAAAAATATTTCAACATGATTAATATCAAACAGTAGTAAGAAATTTGTCGGATGAAATTGACCACCATTTTTGCTGCAAAACAATCTTGAAAACAAAATCGGGGCAAAGAGATCATCACCAAATGATAATATTATTACTCTGATCATAATAGTGTAATTTAGAGTAAGGAGTAGAAAAATACATTTCTGCAGAGTTTAGCCATTCAATTAAATCGTCTGGACACCATTGTCGAAAGTTAAAAACCAACATTAAAATCTAAAATTCATGAAAATAATTATTTTGTTAGAAAAAATTGCGACCTGTCTCCTTTTTAACCTTCCGAAGGGAATGTTATTCTGTGCTGTCGCATCTGTACAGTGGTTATTCTCGTGCTTTTCGGCTCGGCATCAGGCACTCGCACTGTTGCCAAATTTAAGATGCGACTCGCGATAAAATCGCATTTTAAAATTCCTAATAATTAATTCGCGCGCGGGATTAGTATGCGACGCGAGATGGCGTTCAATTAGCTGCCGACTAGATTCGAGCATTAGGCGTACGTGACCCTCCAGTCAATAATGATTGATCCGAACGGTTGCCGAATGTAAATGGGTTGCATTTTCGAAAGAAGGAAGGAAAATTTTAGACGACGGAAAAGTAACAAAAAACCGACCACGGAAATGAATTTCTATGCTAACCGAAAAAATATGGTTTTGGCCATTCCTGTTGTCCAAATAAACGGTATATTAAAACCACAGAACAGGGTGAAACAGGTGTAAGTCCCAACCAAGGTTGGAAACACAGATTCGTGTTAAGGACTCTTTCGTTATATTTAGCCAGAGACGTATTTGAAAATTTTAGTTTTGGTTTTGGTTTACATGGTTAGAAATTGGGTAAATTATGGTAGGAAAAAAATTGAAAAATTTAAAAGTTTTGTTATTGGGCATACGTAATCTGAAAACGGCTGTAAAATGTTTTCAATTTTTGATATAGGTCTCTACGTTTTGGCTTGTTTTAAGTTTGTGTGGAGAAACCACATAACAATAAAATAATAAATTCGCCTTACTACGGTAAAAACTGATGCGCCGCAGGCGGCAGTGATATTTTCGTAGCGATGTCCACACACTTAACTCGTTTTCCTAGAATATTTAACGAGATCTATCCATGTTTTAAGAAAATATTGCTGTAAAAACGCTGCATCCAAATTTGCTGATGGTGATGGTTAAAAACGAAATTTTAAATCTCGCGTTGAATGGACCCTGCTAAAAATTTTTTTTCATAGCTTCATTAAACTCAACGGGGAAATAATGTGGACCGATAAAGTTTTTCAGATTATCATCTTAATTTTCGAGTTTCAACTTTGCTGCTTAAAAATTATTGTTTATGGTCAAAAATTGTGTATTTTATGTAATACTTGAGATCCGCAAAGGTCGGATGGGTTCATGGACTTTTTTTATTCAATATCCTGTTTTTAACTAGATACAATTACTTTTTGGTACTTTGATGGTCCTGATTTTTTATGTGTCGCCGAAAGGGCATAAGATTATAATATAAATCCCAAATGAATATTTCAAATTAACTAAAAGTGGACTGAATCGTTAAACTCGCCTCAAGTAATAACTTAATATAATTTAATTGCCAATCTGGAAACGACGGTGCCGTAAGTCCCCAAAACTTACAATTTACAACTAACCGGCACGGAAAGTTCTCTGCGAAATTAAAACGATAATTACGTTAGCGGATAAAGCAAGGCCCTTCAGACGATCATTACACGAATTTTTAAACTTTTTGCAATAACATCTACGCTACATCAGAGGTATAGAGGCCTTGCATATGCTGATAATACAGGAACTAACTATGAAAAAAAATTGAGAAGGTCCATTCAGTGCATGTGCATGCGCGAGATTGAAAAAGTCTTTTAACCAAGGAATTTCAACAACCAACACCATTAATAAGATCGTCACTAAATTTGAATGCGGCATTTTTACGGTGGTATTTTGTCAAAATACCCCTGGATCTCAATCCCGTTTGCGGCGCATCAGCGTATACCGTAGTAGTATATTCTCTACGAAATACCCATCAAAGAACGGATTTTTTCTTAAAAGACACAATCGTCACCTACTTCAAAACTTTCGCCGATTAAGGGACCCATTAAACGTCAACGAAAACAGCCGAGATCACGGCAAAGTTTTCTATGCAAACACCACATCAAAAGATTTCCGACCGTTCAGCTTTCAGCGCCCGATCCTTATTTTCTCTGAAAATACGTCGGGTTTTAACTTTGGCCGATCCGAAATACCCTGAAAGCGACTTTTTTAACACACGTGCCGTGGTCACGTGTGGGTGTTTAGCACAGTGATTATAAAATTATAATAAAAGTTAAAAAGTAGGTTAGGGTGCATTGGGTATTAAATAACTCTTTTCGACTTCGATGTTTGTTAATTACGGGAATATGATATGCTTTAATAAATAGCTGTTCGTAACTAGTTTATGATACTTTTCTAGAAGGGCAGCATCAGATGGTAAAAAAAACCATTTATTAAAAAATCATTTATTCACAAAATATTCTACAAAATGCCTAAAGATTTTTCGACGACAGCATGCGGTTGAGCCGACATTTCAAACAATTCCGGAGAGTTGAAAATGTCTTCTGGCATGATTTCCAAGTCCCTTCCAGTCAACGAGTCAAGCATAGCATTGGAGGATCTTAAAAACGGTAATCGGCCAATTTTTTGTGCCGACTTTAGTTCCATCGCAATCCGTAGGGGCGCATGAAGTCCCTGAGTGTTTCTCAAAATCGCCATGTTGAAGTTATCCCGATTTTGTTCATACTATAACAAAGCCAAATATGACACCTCGAATAGAATAGCTTCGACTAGATTTACGTGCTTTTCCGAATACGCTATTGGGTGAATATCGTCGCAAGCTGCTCTGGCGGTTGTCAAGCCGTTTTTCATTAATTCCGGCACCCCAAACGGCCCTTCCGCTAAACTAAATTCTCCCCCTGGGGCAGACTTAACCTTAATGGAGGGCAAGCCGAAACTCTGGAACGAATTGGTAAATTGAAAAAGTGTTTAAACTGTTGATGAACAAATTTACCATCTTTTATTATTTAAAGGAAAGTTTCTCGGGAAAACCAAACCAATGACTTGCGAACTCAACTTAAAACAATGGCCACAGATGAGAAATGTCATAAAATATCCATAGACTAGAAAATATTAAAGACTGTTTGTCGATGGGGATAATGAGCGAGTCATTCGTGTGCTCTGAATAATAAGTAAAACCAGTAAAGGTCACTTTTATTTACTTATTACTTAGCCGGCAATTCGTACGTTTACGCATTTAGCGGATGGATCATAGATGACGAAATTGTTAGTTACTGCAACCATCATTGTTTATAGCAATTCTCGTTCCTCGTTGCCAAATATTCAATTATCTTTTTCTTCCTTAAATTAAATTAAATTCCTTCTGTTAAAGTTTATTGTCGGTATTCAAAACGAAAATTAGTTTTCTGCTATTTTGAGAATTGGCCAATTTTCCAGTTTTATTTTCTATTTAGTTGTTATTTTATTCTGTTGTTAATTGTAATAATTTTTATATAAACTTTAAGAATTTGTTTTTTTGTTTATCTGTCCCATTACTATTTCTGCGCTATACTTTTTATACTGCTGTCATAAGTGATACTTTTTTCGTGATAATTTTGAAGCTCTAACAACTGATGTACCTAAAATGAATACCTTGTTTTGGAATATAATGTTGCTGTTACGTTGTTACAATAATTAAATAAAACACTGCCACTAAAAAACTCACTGTTTTTCTTTATCCCTTTAATTTTTGTTGGGGCAAAAGTATCTCGCAAACATCTTTAAAAAGTTATTAAATTAAGAGGATATGAATCTTATTACTGAATATTTTGAAATCAATGAGATTTTTTTACATCGGAGATGGTTTTTAATGAAACACGGTTAAATTGCTGCGCGGCTGGTTACCAAAATTGAGATATTCTCTGCTCGTAAAACGTAAACAGCAAGGTTGCCACTTACCACATCTCATCAATGCACTTGAAAAGTTCTATGGTGCCTTCTAATTGTGTCTTAAATTTTTAGGTGAAGTATTCGGTTGAGGTTATCTGTGTACGTGTTGACAGATTGTAATTAATGAATAAGAAGCGATATTTTTGCTGATTAAAAATGATATAAATGATTACCGGAGTTCGGTCCTATGCTATTCAATATTTTCCATTAAATTTAACTGAATGCGGTTACGTAAGGTGCTGTTAAGTCACGTCTTAATTGCTTTCAATCAGTTGGGGCAGTTGATTACTTAACTTCCAATAACGCGATGTATAACCGTAAAGTTATATATTTTTTCCTATTTTGCGTCAATTTCTATTTTGTTCTTTGTGACGTAGAACCTAAAGAAGTACCGGATGAACTAAAACCAACAGAGGTAAGCGTCTATAAAGCGTTTGTAAATAAAGGTCTGCTTCTATCGATGTCGGAAAACTAACTTTTGATATTTTATTGAAAATTTAGGACCCTAATCTGCCGGGCGATGGCAAAGGGGGAAAAATCATCAATTTGGAAAATGTCGGGTTCATCCACGCTTTCGTCGCCAGTTTTAGTGTTATTTTGGTGTCCGAAATTGGGGACAAAACCTTCTTTATCGCCGCTATTATGGCAATGAGACACCCCAGACTGACGGTATTTGGTGGAGCTATATCCGCTCTAGTTTTAATGACAATCTTGTCAGGTAAGGAAAGAATTGTATTTTTAAAAGTATTGACGCACAAACCTAATCTGGGGCTATTTACTGTGACTCTTACCCACCTCAATTACCTAAATCTAATTGTGTAAATGGTTCATTCAACTTTTATAGTACTAGACATATTTACATATCTGTTATCAGAGGTTGTTTTTTGCTTGAAGTTATCTTTTCAATGTGATTCTGTTTGATAAATGCTGTTCTAGTTCTCACTTGAAAGGAATGTTACGCTTTTGTTGAATAAAAAAAATCATATTTACTGTGCAAAAGGCTTAGAATATTTTTGGAATGCTCTCAATTTAGATGAGTGTTCCATTCACATCAGTTTAAACTTACAAAATGTATTACAGCTTTATTTGGATGGTTGGTAAATGTAATACCAAGAGCTTATACCTATTACATCAGCACTGCTCTGTTTGCCATATTCGGATTGAAAATGTTAAAAGAAGGCTGTTCTATGTCACCAAATGAAGGCCAAGAAGAGTTGGAAGAAGTCCATATGGACCTCAGAAGGCATGATGAGGAGGTAGCTGCTGTGTATATTTGTTCCAACTTTTTTGATTGTAAATTTTAGTTAGAAAGGGGCACAACAGGTGCTAATGATCCAGAAACGGGTAGCACTTCTTCCAGGCGACCCAAACCACCTAGTGTCCTTTCCATGATTCTTAGGATTTTTTTACAAGCCTTCACTCTAACATTTTTAGCAGAATGGGGCGACAGATCCCAATTGACTACCATTATTTTGGGTGCTAGAGAAGTACTGTTTGCAACTTTAAATATCTCATATGTGGTTTATTCCTAAATAACACTTTTAGAATGTTTATGGTGTTATACTTGGTGGGATAATTGGACACTCAATTTGTACCGGGGTCGCTGTCTTGGGAGGCAGGATGATTGCTCAGAAGATCTCAGTGAGAACAGGTGCGAGTGAATTTTTTAAAGCCATTGTCTGCAGCATTTACAACGATTTTTTCCTTTCCAGTGACTATTATTGGGGGCGTAGTCTTTCTCGTGTTTGCGTTTTCAGCTTTGTTCTTTGATCCAAATGAAGAGAAATAGCCATGGATGTTGTAAGAAAAAGATGGCTGAGATCAACTTGTAAATAGCATTTAACTATTTAACTATTCGTTGTATATAGGAGGATTAAACGCATTGCGCATTAGGTGTACTTAAAGATTTGCGACATTTGAGTACGTGTTTTTACCTGAAAAAAGGAGCTGGAACTTTTATTGTGAGTTTGATGTTTTAGGCCATTTAGTGTTGATATAATTTGATTCGAATCACTTTATATGTTATTTTTTTATTTACATTATTTAGGTCCCCCAATTTTTATGTTGATGCCAGGATGCGACACACTGACTACTGTAAATATTCTAAGCACAATTTGCATTAATTTTAGTTCGTCTATATTGGGTCCGTTGATTAACCCTTGAAATTAAGTTGTAATTTGTTGTAAAGGTTTTAATGTAAGTAGTAAGTATTACATACAAAAATGCAAAGGCATAAAGATCAATGTTATATAATAAATGCATTCGTCTGTTCAATTTGTTTGAATATTCCCTAACTTAGGTTGGAAATCTTTGAAACTGGAAAAAACAATATTCTGCCTCTTGGATAAAAGGAAAATGGTGACGCATCATGATTTGTGTTGCTCCAAACATGATTTTAATTTAAAAATAAAAACAATGCCACAACTTAAGAAAAAGTTAAAACTAAACAAATATTAAATATATAAATCTGCTTTTTTAGTTTAAATGTTTCTGTGCTGATCGTTTAATACTAGTTGTTTTAAACAGAAAATCTAGTATCGCCACAGACCACAATCGAATAAAAATATAATCTGATTTGATCTAATTCTATTGTGTTATATATTTGCCTTTTCTAAAAAATAAGTCAAATATAATACGAACGAATATCGTATGGCCTTTACGTTTTATGAGTATTATGCGACTGTTACGTTCGTTAGATGCTCTTCTCCTTCTTTACTTCTATGGCCAAGTTACCAGGATGTATCAGCCATACGTTCAGAATTTATGAACGCTGCACTAAAATATCGGAACGGGTTGCAGACGCCATTTTCAAATAGCGCCCCGGACGGTTAATCAAAAAAGCTCCGAACAAACTAAGGTACTCTGATGAAATAAAGTTTAGTTTGTTCGCACATCCTGAAAAGTTGTGTGGTATTTCCCATTCTCATTTCTCAAAACGCTGTGCGAAGGAGGGTTCGGTGTTTCGTAGTGATTAATTTAATTATAAAAAAAAATTGTTTGTTGTTTATTATTCGGCTTTTAGCCCAGTTATATTATGGTGTTAGCCGAGAAAAATAGTGAAAATGTGCGGAACGGACGCCGAAGCCGAGGGCCAAGCCCCAATGGTCACGTACAAGCGGACTCTACTAGCGAGGATGAGAGCACAGGTAGGCGGCGTGACTCAACTGGCACCGCATTTTAATGCTAAAAATGTTGTTCATTTCAAGTTCCAGTGGATAAAATTAGAGTTGGGAGGGATTATCAGGCTGTATGCCCTGAGCTTCAACCAGAGGCTCAGAGAAAGCCGGAACTCTTAGCAGATCGGGCTTTGCTAGTTTGGTCTCCCACAGACACGATTCCCGATTCTAAATGTAAGTCGCTGTGTGGTTTCCTGCCGGTAGGCTCTGTTTCACCTTCTCGGGTTTCAGTGGAGGACTACATTGTACTTGCCAAAGACAAGTATGGTTATAATGGGGAGCAAGCGCTGGGGATGTTGTTTTGGCACAAGCACGACTTGGATCGAGCAGTATTGGACCTAGCTAATTTCACGCCGTTTCCAGATGAATGGTCTGTTGAGGACAAAGTGTTGTTTGAACAAGCGTTCCAGTTTCATGGGAAGAGTTTTCACAGAATCCGGCAAATGGTGAGTTGACGACCTTGGCCCATGATTGCAGAGTTTTTTTTTTTTTCGATTCTAGCTTCCCGACAAGAGCATAGCAAGCCTCGTCAAGTATTACTACAGTTGGAAGAAAACGAGATCCCGTACGAGCTTTCTGGATAAGCAAGCGCGAAAACTGAACAATCCTAAGGAGGAGGGTGGAGAGGAGGCTGCCTCGGAAGGTGGTTCCAATGAAGAATCTGATCATGATGACAAGGTAAGACTTTTTGGCTGTATCGAGTGTTTATTACCGTTGGTTTCTTTTAATGTTGGGTTTGAAGATACTCTTATAATTTGTACAAGTTTTTGTACAAATTTTCGCGGTTTTACTGTTAGGGGGTGCAACCCAACGTGTCTTTTTTTTGTTTCCTTTTCGCGAGCCAACCTTTTTCAATGTCCAAAAGGTTAATGCGCGATAGAATTCACTCACTGTATGTATGACCACCGCATAAATGTGTGTGTGTGCGCAGGGTGAGGGTGGAAAATGCTCAAACTGCAACGTCTTCTGTACGGTCACTCGCGTGACCACCAAGGGAACGCTTTGTAACTCCTGCTACCAACACTGGAGGTATGTAAAGTTCACCAAGGAAAACACTATTGCCCCCAATTTGTTTTTTTCTACCACTCAAAAACCAGTTGTATCTGCACCAAATTATCGGATTTATGTAAAAAAAAAGCCTTTGATTTTGATGATCCATCTGCACAGACAAAAGCACAAAACTCTTCTGCAACTATGGTCTGTGCATGTGGGATTAAAAGTTCGCCCGCGCAGCCCACTGGGATGCATTACATAGCTGTGTGAGTGATCTGGGAATGGGGCGGCCTGCGCAATAAATCTTCAGCGTGGAACAATTGCCCTGGCAGCCCCATTCAGACACGCCCAAAGTTCAAATTCATATCCGTCCCGCATCTTATCACCACCACCACACATACTAACCGTCTCCCGAAAACGTGTTCTGACCCTAAATGTTTTCCGCAATCGTATCCGCACAGACGGACAGGCCTGTTGCGTCCGATTTCGGGGCCCGTGGGCGGGCGACGGTCCGCCCTGCACGGGGCGCGCCACAAGCGCAAGCCGCCCCGCGGTATGTACATCAACCACGACGACCTAGCCACGATGGCGTCCGGCAATGCGGGCGTGTTGATGCTTAAGGCAATGGACCGAGAGCTTGATTCCCTCCAAAGACAAGTGAGTACCCTGGCCGGACGGGAGAAGGGGGCGCCCGACCCGCCAGGGTCGAGGCCCTCCCGTCCCTCCTGACGATCAACATATCGAACATAGATGAAATTCTTTTTCTTTCTTTTTTTTTTTTGTTTAGTTTGATGCATAAAACGAAAAACTACTTTTGCTTTTTCCATAGTATTACGCGGGGATGTAGATAAATACGGGGGCCAGGTTGGGAAGGGTGGGCGGGGCACGTTTCAATGCAAAAACTGTGTGTAGCGTCCATTGGTCCATTGGTGCTATAACTTTTTAATTTTTGAATATGAGGGATTCATCATAGTTCGATGTGTTGTGAATTGCTCCCTGCTTCCCGTCTTGTCGTGTTTCTTCTCCTCACACCCCTTCATCGCATCTACCATTGAACGTTTGTGCGTGTGTGTTTGTTTTCTTGGAATCACAGTTTTTTTTTTTTTTTGTTATGTACTTTAAGTTAAAAGGACACGCGTTGGTTGCAACTCCTCTACTTTGTAAGGCCGATACCAACATGGTAACACATATTTTCTGCATTGAAAACGAGGTGGGCTTTGCAAATTAAACTAACAGTGAAGTGCCGTGGTTTGATGGAAAAAAAATTAAACCTATTTTGTTTCAGACGGAAATAATTTTTCATGTTATGTTGCGACAGATATAAATATGTAGTATGAACACGGTATTTCTAAGTTATTACCTAAATCTATCACGTTTGATTCTATTTTCGGTGTGTATCAGAAAAATCTTCAAACTATTCTAATTTTTGTTTGGTGAAAGGGGAACTAAAAATCTCAAAATTTCAAAAAAATACATTGGGAAACAAATGAATGAAACAAATTAACTGGTAAATAAAAAATATAATGCAGCAAAGTGGATTTTTGATACTTCTTACACGAAGGATCCATTATCTTCTTCGAGCGTCGCACTTCTTATAAGCGTAAATCAGTGATTCAATAATTAACGTTTGTATTATTAATTTAGATTGTAATTAGATACTTAAAAGGGACTGGGATCGTTGTCAACTGACAGTTTAATTGCTATTTTTGTTAGCAGTTAAAATCTACAATAAAAATAGGTATAACAAGTAATACATAACATATAAAAACAAACAGGAATAAAAATGAAAAGAAAAAGGAACAAACAACAAAACAATGGCCACCATTAAGAATCGAATAATCAGTTAATATCTTTTATCTTCTCTTTGTATTCATCTACAGAGTAAAAACAATGCTCCAAAAAAAAAGATTATTTTGGTTTCAAAGTTTTTAAATAAGAGGTTTGTTACTTGATTTGGAATTAGGTTGTATATACTTTGGTCCAGAGCATTTTTCATGCTTTTAGTGCATTTAGTTTGAAGCAAATTTGAGGAGGAATCCAGGTATTTATAACAGTGTAACAGCGTATGACAAAATGGAATGAAAAAGAGCATAGTAGCTCGAAACTAGATAGTCCTTTCCTATTAAATTTTAGGGTAACCTGTTACACTCCAACCATCTCTGATTATAGGAATATTAAATTTATTTATGAACTGTATGGTTGTAACTGATGCTAGCGCGGCTTCCAGATTCAACAAAACAAACAGAACGTTAGCGGGTTAAAGCGCAAACACGGCGACACAATAGAGGAGCTGCGGCCCAACGCCGAGACGACGCAACGAGTGAACTCTCGCTGGAGCAACGACGAGCTGATGCTCGCCGTACAGGGTTTCCGAAAATACGGCAAAGATTTCAAGAGCATCGCCGAAATGCTCGGCAACAAGACCGAAAATTACGTGCGCACATTTTTCATCAACCACCGCAAACGGTACAACCTCGATCAGGTGATCAAGGAGTGGGAAAAGGACAACGGTCCCGCCCAGGGGGCGGCGAAAGAAACGAAAATGGAGACGGCGGACGACGACAATGACGTCATTTGTTTGTCGCCTAGCCCGCCCACCTCAAATAAGAAGGAGCTGAAGAGTAGCGGGGGCAAGATGACGGCCGCACAGATCACCGCGAAATGATGATGTGCTGTGAGGCACAGTCCGGTTTTTCTTTTAGTTGAATTTTGAAATTAGACCTGTTTTGTTTATTACGCGCGCATTTTGCCGAAAGAGGTCGCGCGAGGTGGTGGCGCCCCTTAGGAGAACTTTGACGCGCGCGGAAACTGATATTTTTCATTTTCACTCGTCCAATGCGGTTTTTAATAATTATATAGCCTACCTGTACATAAAAGCAAATCCATTGCATGACGAAGGCAAGTGTAATACTTAAGGATTGATAAATCTTAGCGTTGTATATATAATCAGGTTTTAGATTTTCTTAGTTTTTACAAGTTGAAGTGAAAGTTCCTCGCAGAGCATTAGACGTATAAAACTGCTGCATATAATATATATATATAACGATTAGTGTCAAGTCTCTGAGAGTGTTTAATTTATTTTTAGTAATATATTGGTACGACATATATGTAACCTTTTGTTTTATTTGTGTGAAGTTTCGCTTAGTAATGTGCCTCCTTCAGTAATGGGCGAATGTTCTTAGTTGACTGGCCCTCGAGAAGGGAAAACGAATAAGTCCTTATGGCCCGGAAAAATTGAAGATCGTCATTTATGTGGCAATGATAACGATGTTTAAGGAACGCAACAGTGCTCTTAGCCACAGAACGTGAGGTTATTCGCAATACAATGCGAATGGCTTTTACGTAGAAATTAGAGACGTCATAAAGAAGCTACGCGTTTTATTCAATAAACGAGTATTTAACACTTGCCGCCACGACACAAACATTTTTCAAAGGGTAAGCGTCCCGCCGTCTGAATTTGCAATTTGTACGTTCCATAACATTCTGTGGTTTCCGATAAAAAATAAATCACCGCCTTCCCTGACTTAATTGTCATGCTGGCTATGCGCACTTGCGTTTATTCTCTTCGGGTATAACGCGATCAGCACTAACTGAGTAACGCATATACCAAACGCTATGACGTTTTGTACCACCATGAATGTATTGTTTAGTATGATTCCGTACAGTAACCAGAGGAAAGTGACCAGGGCCGCCATAAAAGTCATCGGTAGAGGAATGGTAGACGCGTCCTTTTTCTCAATGATTTCTTTTAATCCCGTTAGAGGCGCGCCCAACAACAATAACATTAAAATTGTGGTTAGAAAACTGTAACGGAACTCCAAATGTTTCGGATCTTCAACCGCTGCATATCCCAGAAACACCGCCACGAGAGCAACGGCATAGGATGTCGGTTTTCCGAATTCCTCCCATTTATTTTCTGAATATTGATAGTAAATTGCGGCCCATATAGAGTTGAACAGTATCGCGACGACGTTAACGTTTATTGTTATCTGGTCTGATAGCAGGTATCCGTATTTTACCATAAGAATACCTATAGCAATCCCTCCAATAAAGGGGGTAGCACTATAGCCCTTGGAAGACTTCTTGTTGTAGATCTCCCAGCAAATTGCTCCACCAGTCAAGAACTGAGCGATAGTGACATACATCGCAACACTACCGATAACTTGCTTGTAGGGTTGTAAACTCTGAGAAAGAACTTCCATTTCCAAGCAGTAAAATAAAAAACTTAAGTAAGGAAAATTAAAAAAAAGGATTTCTAAACTTGACACTTTCGCTTCACATAACCTTGACAAACGACATTCAACTAACTATAAAGGAAGTCGTACCAGGAAATAAACAAATTTATTCCCCACGTACTTATTTGGGATTGGTTCCCCATACACTTTTTTTGCTGATGAAATTATTATCATTAACACAGTAGGCAAGAATTCGCGAAAACAACACGCATAAACTGTAGAAAAATATAAAACAAATATCGGCCCCACAGTTGGAATTCTTGTTTAAACAAAATCCGCTGATACGCCGTTAATAATTGTTCCCCCACCCACCAACCCACTCAACACTTAACGAAAGATTGCTAGAAATAATATATATTACCATGCAATTCTCGTGTAAGAGATCCATCCACATTCTTCTTCTTTGCTCTTGTTGAGCAAATTTACCCTGGACCCTTGAACACCGTGGATGATTTTTCGAAAGTTCACAGTATAAAAATAATGAGCTTCACAAATTTTGGATGTGGGAATCAGAACTTAAATTGGAGGTTTTTTTGGCAGGTCAATGCTTTACCAACCGAGTCATCCTCGGTCCCCGAAAATTGAAATTATTTAATCATAAGCGCTTATTCAAGGGATATGACAGAAAAGTAAACTTTGCGCGTATTTTGCCCTAACCTTAATATGATCCTGGTAATCTTGGCCATGAAAGTAAAGAAAAAGAGAAGAACCTTAATTTATAGAAAAACCCAAAGAATCCCCATTGAAACAACCGGGACGGTTTGAAATATTTTCTGTCTCTCTGCAATATAACAAGAAAACGAGAAACATGGTAAGAGCTTGGTACATGAACGACGACGATACCAGCGATCAAAGAACGGAGCATCAAAAAAGTCCGCCAGAGTTCATTTCGATAGAAAATTTGCTCGAAAACACGGGAGTTGAATACTTCAAAGTAAGCATTCCGGTATTAAATTCTTAGCTCACACGGTCGCTTTTTCAGTTAAACGTCGAGCTAGACCTAGGCCCAGACGGAGCGCTAGAGAAAATTTGTAAAGATAGAGGCTATAGTTATGAAGACGAGATTGTTTGCTCTAAAGAATGTCTACGGAATTACGAGGAAAAGTTAAAAATGTTTTATGTTGAACATCTGCATACAGATGAAGAGATCCGATTGGTCATTGAAGGCTCGGGTTATTTTGACGTCAGAACCGAAGATGATAAGTGGGTTAGGGTGGAAGTGGTCCCGGGGGATTTATTAGTTCTCCCTGCTGGAATTTATCACAGATTCACGCTTGATACAAAGGTAAGTCACTTCTGTAAGCGGAAAGGGATGATTAATAAAAAGAATTTTAAGAATTACATAAGAGCGAAGAGATTCTTTGTGGGCGAGCCCGTGTGGACTGCGTATAATCGTCCTGCGGACCATCTACCAGCCAGGCAGCGCTATTTGGAGTATTTAAAACCTGGAATTAGAACAGCTGAGAATTTTTTTATCTAAATGTATTTTTTACAAGTTGAAGTAAAAAAATATTTTGAACTTGGTTTTAATTATACCTTTAGAGCCTTTGATACAGTGCGATAAAAGGCTATTTTTAGAGATTTTTGAAATGTGGGGTTATTGTTAGGGTCAGAACAACATACATGCACAAATAAAATGAAAAAATAACAGCTTATCATATACAAAATGTATTTGTTGCATAATCATAACATAATTTTTTATTAAAACCGTCAAACTATTTTGTAAATTTCATTTTTTTAACTGGCGACAGTATGGCGTTTTGTCTCGAAAACATTCACTCGTACTTTGTCAAATAGAATGTATAATCTTGAATTTACACAATTTAAAAATACGTACGCATTGGGCGGCGAGGACGGGTTCACCCTTGCGGGTGGTGCCCGATCAACCCAACATATTCTGTAATGGCGCTGGATAAAAACGTTTTCACTGGAATAATTATATAAAAGCTTAGCTACTTAGCTAACTTAAAAAGTATGGGACCTAAAATATTGTTTTTTTATGATTCGTTACAATTCGCGTATATAAAAATAGTACACCGCTAAGAAAACCGTATAACATCCGTCGCTTCGCTCCCCGGCACAAGCCGGGCGTACACTCGGGGGCCATGAAATTATCACAGTGACATGATAACTCGAGCAGTTTAAACTTCCATTTTGGAATTGTATAAAGGACAGCCGAATACCGGAAACATAACCAAACAAAATAGGGCTATTAATTTTTAAAAGAAACTTCCAGGGGCTACTGTAATGCTTTTTACAAAACTTCTGGATTCCTCCTGCGTCGGTTTTTGCTTAGTAGCAATTTCGACTAAGCAAAAACCGACGCAGGAGGAATCCAGAAGTTTTGTAAAAAGCAAAAAAGGGCTATAAATCGTAAAAAAGAGTCAAACAAAAATTACAGTGGAAAAGGTCCGCGCCTAACACTTGACAAATATTCCATGATTTTTTAATGGTATCCTTATACATCGATTGTGCTTTCAAATATTTTACGTATTTCAGGATAAAAATGTAGCGAAGTTATTCAAATGACGTCACAAGATTGTAAATAAATATCAAACCGCAAACATCTACACGATATATTTGTGAATATGAATAAATAACGACGAAGAAGCTATACGAATATTTAAAAAAAGTCAACGTTCCATTAATTTAAAAAATGCCTTGAAGGGCTTCACCTTAAGACGGGATACAAATGCAACTGGCTTTTTCTAACAGAACCGTAATTTTATCACAGATGGCAAGTCTTAAAATATTGGAACCATCATCAAGTACGCTTTTTACTAGCATGTGACGTCAGCTTTTAAAAAAAACAATTTTTCACGGGGTTTCTTCCACCGTAGCTTTTCCGACTGTCAGACAGGTCATATTGGCTTGCAGACTTACGCTCAAATTAAAATTGGGGTTGATTCGATGCGGATTTAAGATTCGCGCACATAAACGGATGCTACGGACGACGCGGGCGGCGTGCTACGGACATTAAAGGCCGGTTCTTATATATGCGTCGACGAGGTTCACTGTGCTGAACTTAGCTTCGTGACAAAGCTTTAATTTGCCGAGATGAATTCACATACAAGCTTCAAATCGAGACATGCGAAACCACAGAAACGCAATCGAAATGTTAAGTACAAGCAGTTCTTATATTTACCAGTTCAACCATTTGTTTTAGCATTAGTCTGTCATTACGAACAACGTGAGAAAAGAAAACACCATAGATACTGGCTACATATATGATTGGTATAATTTTTGTTGCTTATGTTATACATCTCTTCATATTCCCTAACTAATAAATTGTTCAACTCTTCTGCCGTTCATCCAGGTCAGTGTTTTTGTGACTACTAATCCCGCACATATCTAGTCGAATATGAACCAAAAAATCATTGCCCTCTACACGCTTATTTCATCATATTGGGATTCACATTTCTATTTGATCGAGCGGCGATGCACTTCAACCGCATGGAAAACCCTACAGACAATTGAACGTGTCAAGCACCACGAAGATCAAGCGAGGCGTAGCGCAAATGAGATCTGCTACGTAAGAAAACACGAAAACTTTTTAACGCTACATTTTGGGGCTCAATGAAGTCAAGTGTAATGAATTACGGGAAAGGTATATATGAACCGACCTTTAATCAGGGTATAGTATGGCATCGTCGGAAGAATTAAAAATCAGTTTTGAATATGTCTTCGAGAGGTAAGGAAGTGGCCATTACAATTCAATTCAATTCCAAATTCAAAAACGAAGACAGCGTAGACGAGCTGTATGGATTCATGAAACATGCTAAATTTTCTTTGATATTTAATGTAATACCTATTACTTATACATCATACAGTTCTTTATAATTTTGAACTCAATGCAATAACAAATTTCCGTTAAAATTAATCAAAACTGATTTTTCGGCTCTTCTGTAGGCAGAGACTTGCAGAATGCCGACGCAATCTCCGATGCGTGCCGTCCGCACATATGTACATACGTCGCTGCCGTAATAATGCCGTTATATGTGCGCGTACCTTTACAAAAAAAATAAAATAAACATCACTAGGCAAACAAATCCACACATTACCGGCACCTCACAACTCTATATATATATGTATATATACTCGAGCGTTATTGTGAAATTAGGCACGGTTTGACGTCACGTAACCTACAAAAAAAAAGTCCTAGTACTAGAACCGCGACCTCGCATTTACACTATACAAATAAGAAACTGTCGCGGCGGCGCGCACAGGTCTCACTCTCTTGCGCGCTAATGCTGCTTGGAAGCGGCCTCTTTGGCGGCCAATATCAAAGGCGTCAGGCTGGCCAAGGGCCTGGCCAATTTCAAGAACGGATGTTTCAAGAGGTCGCGCGCGGAAGACCTGTCCTCCACCTCGACCGCAAGACATTGGTCAAGAAAATTCTGAAACGGCGCCGACAGCTTCTCCTTTTCCTTGATCTCGGGTTTTCCGTGAGTCGCTATCAAATACAACGCCCTCAGAGGGTTCTCGTTCAAATAGGGCGGTTCACCCTCGATCATCTCGATCGCCATGATACCTAGAGACCAAATATCCACCTTGGGACCATAATGTTTTCTCGTAACCACCTCGGGGGCCATCCAGTAAGGCGTACCGACCATGGTCGTGCGTTTCGATTGTTCCGGACTGATCTGGGCGCAGAACCCGAAATCGGTCAGTTTCACTGACCCATCCAGCCCCAGCAGAATGTTATCGGACTTGATATCTCTGTGTATGACCTGGTTCGAATGAAGGAAATCCAACGCCTGGAGTACTTCGCGGCATACCGCGGCGATCTGCCCTTCATCCATACATGTCTCGGTGACAACATCGGTCAAAGAGCCGCCCGGCAGATATTCCATCACAACCCAGAGTTCCTCGTTCACCAGGTAACTGTCCAGGTAGTTTACGACGTTGCCATGTTTGTTTTCTCGCATTACCAGGATCTCATTGATAATCAGTTCCTTCTTGGGCTGCTGGGACAGGTTCATCTGTTTTATGGCCACCTCCATACCAGTACCAGTCTCTATGGCGGTGTATACTGTACCCGAGGCCCCCTGTCCGATCTTATCCAGCTTGGTGTATTTCCGATTGGGGTCGCCTACGGACACGATGCTGCGCAGCTTCTCCAGAATTTCCTCGTCTGTCATTTTCTTCTTGCGTTTTTCTGACGCGGCGCGGGACATCTCTATAACTGGAGGGTTTTTGTTTTTGTCTAAAATTGCGGTCGAGCTGTTGTTGGTCGTCGGAGAAGAGATGGTAACAGGCGAGGGCTGCTTCTCCGGGAGTTTTTCCTCTTCGACCACCGGTTTCGTGTAGATGCTCTTCGTGCGTTCAGGTCGGCTTGCAATCGGCGGTGGTGGGGGTAAATCGTCATCGATTTCGGAACTGGTAGCGTGGGCGGGGCTGTAGGAGTGATGTGCGCCTTCCACGTCTGTCGGTGTGGTACTACTAGGGCTAGAACTTGACACCCGACTCAGCGACGAGCCCGAATGAGTTGCCGCGTTCGTCTTAGTCATGTATTTGGTGATGGGCGGCTCCTTCGAGCTATTATCATACCAGTTGAGTACGTCGAGTACCGCCTGGGGGTTATTCTTCTGCTCCTGTTTGCTGATGTTTGAGTTCATCAGTAACCGAGACCACGCCTCCGGCATGCCCGTAAATTCTCCAGATATGGGATCGAAACCTACATGGACAGTATGTTCAAAATTCGTAGGGTAAGAAATGTTAGGCTTGTCGGAGGAGTATTTCGATATGGTCGACGCCTTTTTGGCTTTTAAATTTTTCTTTTTTCGGTCCGCGTCGTCGGGCTCTTTAGGCAATGGTCTGTCCACCGTTATCGTATTGACGAATTCGGTGCCTCTGTTTGACATTAGCCTCACAGGGGGCGCCGGTGGTTTTTCGTCGTCTGAAGACATCGCAAATTTTTAATTTTTATAGTACCAGACAGGGAACCCGACGTGGAAATTTTTAAAATACGATTAGTCCCACAATTCGTATGATAGGAGCTCCCCGACGAAGTAGATGCAGTCGTGAGAGGAATCCTGCATCGTAGTAATAAAGCTGTAACAAATTGATTTCGCTTACACTAACTCAGAGCTTTAGGTTAATGTTACAGCTCTCCAAGAGAGCAAAGCAAAACGATCCAAATGCCGCCTACACTTTTAATGCCAATATTAACGCAATTATAAGTGGTATCTAATCTGATAAAAAAAACTCGCAAAATATCCACTTTTTATCTCGCGAAAGCGCAGTCATCAGTATCACTATGTTGAATAACTTGAGTTTGACTTCATCCACGACCTGCTAACTTTTTAACAAAATCTTATAAGTTGAAATATTAATTCTCGATAAATTATTTAGGAAAACGATTTTCAATGCAATAGTTTGACCGTTAGTACCTCATAAAAAGGTAGACAAAATATGAAGCAGCTACTATAAAGTATCGAATACCGATTAAAAAATAAGTTTTTTTAAACCAGGTGTTGTATTTATTTTTAGCAAAAAGTTCAATATACTTTTCCGCTCTCTATACAAAATATCTACTTACCGACAAACTTCAAGTCTAATCCAGGCCTTTTATGTTCCAAACGGGCCTGGAAGACTAGCGCACACCGCTATGATTGAGATATGATATTTCTATTTGATGAATTTAATAAGAATGAACTCATCGTGCCGATGACGGATGCCGAACATTTTCATGTCCTTAACTTTCGGTAGTAAGTCCCGCAAATATGGACCATGGATGTGGTTTAAAGTTTTTCTTTGTGGGTTTCCTCGCCCGATTATTTCAACAAATCTTCGTTTCACAAAAAAAAGACCGACAATAAAACTGATTCCAGAGCGAAATGTCATTTGAAAAAGCCATCAGCTACAGAACAACAAATGGTAACTTGAACGTGGTGAAGGTAATTAAGACCACCGCTTAGTGGTAGTTAAGTTATTAATACAATTTATACGTGCAAAAATGAATTAATAATCGAACTTTTTGATTTTCAAATCTGATAACAAATAAATGTCAAGCGAATAATTGCCCGGCTGACACCACAGACCAGAAAGAATTTGGGTTATGAGTTCTATGATGCCCGAAATTTTTGTATTCAGTGGTCGTGAATGTTCGTTTCCCGATTATACTGTATTGGCAACTCTTTCGCTGAGAAGTGTTAACTGTTCTGTTGATAAACAAAAACTAAATTTTTAAAAATAAAGTAAGGATGGCACCCGTAGAGGTTGAAAATACGGGGGTGAGTAAGAATCGTTTTTTTTTTCTTTGCAACTTAAGGCAAAATATTCGAGTTCTATATCTCTTTTGTAACAGTAAAAAACATTTCCTAGAAGGAAGTAAACTAAATTCCACCAGGGCGTTGGCTATTTCATCGTATCAGTAAAATGATTTATTTGTGGGTCATGGTAAATAGCCATATTTTTTCTTTGTATATTAACTATGTTATGATGTTAACCTTTTTTTTAATCTGCACCCCACTTTGTATTTAATTGAAAAGGTAAAAGCTAAAAGCTAAAATTGCCATACAGAAAACCATTTTATTTATTATAATTGAGAGTTATACAGGAAAAGTCTTATATACTTTTAAATTATTTAAATACATTGTTAAATTTTTATCCACCATGGTTTCAGGCGCAAACGGTTAAATGCTCTAAATTTATGTTCTCGTGGATCCTTATAGTCACTATTATAGTCGTAATTTTCCCTAATTTTTTCTTTATTTTGAAACACAAAGCAAGTAATCGCCGAACAAATACCTTTGTGTCAAACGGCCGTCTTTGTTCCTTTAATAAAACTATAAAAAAAATTACCAATATTTTATTTTTTTTTACCTTTCCATTTCCATATATATTCGTCCTAATTAAGGTGGAGCCCCAGTTACGGAATCTAACATTGTCGGGTCACGTCGGCTTTGACAGCTTACCAGATCAGCTGGTTTCGAAAAGTGTCCAGAATGGATTTATCTTTAACATCATGTGTATTGGTAAGTTTTAGTATAATAAAAAACCATTTTCCGAACAATTGCTTTATCACAGGTGAAACGGGACTTGGCAAGTCGACTCTGATGGATTCCCTTTTCAACACCAACTTTGAGTCGATGCCAAGCCCACACACTCTGCCCACGGTAAAGCTCAAAGCTCACACTTATGAACTACAAGAGAGTAATGTGAGACTCAAGCTTACCATAGTGGATACTGTGGGGTATGGCGATCAAATCAACAAAGAGGACAGTTTCAAGGCCATTGTCGACTACATAGACGCCCAATTTGAGAATTACCTGCAGGAGGAGCTTAAAATTAAGCGATGCCTGTCGTCTTATCACGATTCTCGCATTCACGTGTGTTTGTACTTTATCTGTCCCACAGGTCATGGTTTGAAATCAATCGACCTGGTATGCATGAAAAAGCTCGATCAAAAGGTCAATATCATTCCTATTATTGCCAAAGCGGACACCATTTCGAAAACGGAGTTGCAAAAGTTCAAATCCAAGATCATCGGGGAGTTGCAAAACAACGGGGTGCACATCTACGAGTTTCCCGTCGACGACGAGTCAGTCTCTGAGATCAATTCCACCATGAACTCCCATATACCCTTCGCGGTGATCGGGAGTACCGATTTCGTGAGGGTCGGCAACAAAATGGTGAGGGCGAGGCAGTACCCTTGGGGTACCGTCCAAGTCGAGAACGAGACCCATTGCGATTTCGTCAAGCTGCGTGAGATGCTCATCAGGACCAATATGGAAGACATGAGGGAAAAGACGCACTGTCGCCATTACGAGCTGTACAGGAAGAAGAGACTCGAGCAGATGGGCTTTTCCGATGTCGACGCCAACAACAAGCCTATAAGTTTTCAGGAAACGTTCGAGCACAAGCGTTCCAACCACCTGCAGGAGCTGCAGCAGAAGGAGGACGAGATGAGGCAGATGTTTGTAGTCAGGGTCAAGGAAAAAGAGGCGGAGCTTAAAGAAGCCGAGAAAGAGGTAAGATGCGTTGATCTTTTGGAAAATCGGCTTTTTTAATTGTCTTTCAAGCTGCACGCGAAATTTGACAAGCTGAAGAAGGACCACACGGAAGAGAAGAAGAAAATCGAAGAGTCGAGGAAGAAGCTAGAGGATGAGGTGGTGGAGTTTAACAGGCGCAAGGCGCAGTATCAGCAGATGGGTAGCTCCAGCCACCACACCTTGACGCTAGGGAAAAGTAAGAAGAAATAATTTATTATGCAACATTTATTTTATATATGGATTTGCATATGGATTATACTCTACCGCGTGTTTGTATATAAGCAAAGTTTCTTCTTCATATTATCTATTTTTCGATGAATCTTTCTGCGTTTTATTGAAAAAGAAAAACACGGGCAGGATAATCTCGATTAATTTTATAGTAGACGGTGTAGGATGTTTCTTAACCATGCAAAGGAATAAGATTATAATCAAGGTTTCGCTATATATCACACAACTTTGCACTTTGCCTTTCTCGTATGCTGGTGTCCCAAGATCAGGTTTTTATTGTTTTCTCTTTTATATATTATTATGTAGGAAATGCGTGTTTAGTTTTAGTGTACTTTTTTTTATTTTTATACAAGTCATTCTATTTTATTTATGTGTAAGGTTCTAGCGCCAAAGTTTTTAGCAATTGTAGCGATAGCGTAATATGTACTACCGAAAATACAGATGTTTGTGAGTAAAATTTCCCGGCTTTCTTTAAACAGTCGTCTCCCTTAGTCATGTGGACCCTCTCGCTATTTTACGGTAGTAGGTGAACTTGGTCGTTTGCGACGTGCGAACTTTCTGCGGAGTCTGGAACCAGACAACGCGTTTCGGCTTGTTCTCTTTGTCCCGATCCTGCAACGGTCAACGACGCTCTCGAAATGTGTAAAATCGTGTACCTCCAATGTGTGCGTTTTGTATCTATGCGTGCACGTGGGGCTTATTTTTACTACATTGATCTGTTGCGCACGCGTCGTTGGGCGTCGTTTTTCGAACATCAATGGAAAAAATCCAAGTCAAAACTTAACAGCTTTCACATAGTGGTATTGTAAATATATCAAAAGATTGTAAATATTTCTTGTATTACCGAGAAACTTCACTTCCTCTCCCCCTCTCTCTCAAAAATTGTTTTTTATTCGCGCTATGTAGATTTTGCACTTTTATTGCACCATAAGTAATTGTTGTCTTTTTTCCAGAAGTGATTCAAAAGTTTATGTAAAACGATACGGAGACGGGCAGGATGCGCTCTTAGAACGAGTTCTATTTATTTATATTTTTAGCGTGGTGGATTGTTCTTAATATTGATGAATATTTATTGTTGTTAGATATTGTTCATTATAAAAAGAAAAGTTGGAATATGTGTTATTTTAGCACCCCATCATAGTGTCTTCTCAGTATAGATATTTTTTATTTTGATTCTTGAGTCATCCAGTCAAGTAGAGCAGAAAAGAGTATAAAAAAGATCTTCTATAATAAACCTATAATATCCAAATCAGCAGATCCAACCTCTATCTCCATGTGCCTGTTTAAATCCTATATGGCATATATATATATATATATATATATATATATATATATATATATATATATATATATATATATATATATATATATATATATATATATATATATATATATATATATATATATATATATATATATATATATATATATATATATATATATATATATATATATATATATATATATATATATATATATATATATATATATATATATATAAATTTAATATAACATTTGCGGCCCTATATGGCTCTAACTTGAGATTCCCATCGTTCAGTTCTTCATAAATAATATAGTCCAAGTCTGGCATTAAAAACAGTCATAAAAATTTTGTGGACATAATAATTTAGGATTAAAACAAAACCCCTTGTATATTATAAACGACATCTCAGACCTGATTTTTACTGACATTTGATAGGGACCTAAAATTTAACTCCCATATTGACTGAATAGTTGATTAAGTTCTAGCTACCCTAAAATTAGGTTTTCCCGTGGTGTGTCATAATCATACATACACTGGGGTAAGTTTTTATTCCTTTGAATTATTTGCTTGATATGACATTATTATTGAAAAGTAATAAAGGAAAAAATCATTCGGAGCTATATCTCAGTAAGGTTGCATAGGAGGACTTGCGATGATAAGAACTTTTTATATATTGTTTTTTTTTACTTTATTTCAACACCCTAATGTTTTCTACCAAATTTCACTAACAACGCCCAATGTTAACTCGGCGAAGGCTCGATCCCCTTTTGAAATGTGCCCGTAATAAAACTAAACGAGCGTGGCAAGTGTACTTTTAATAAAAGTAGAAAACTATCCATTAGTTTATATACAACTAATACTCTGGGGGGAATATATAAAAGTTAACCGTTGCGGGTGCCCAAAAAACAGAAAAAAAATCGACTCCTACACGCGTGATGGGCGGAGCTCGCTGCGCGCGGTGAGCGTTATACTGGGTGTTCAAATAAGCGGAAGCTGTTGCGCGCTCAGCGACCTACTGACTCGCGTGGGGGCGGACTACGGTACTTGGCACGGATGTGAAGAAAATTGGCCGGTCGCTCGGGACTGACCCGCGACACCACCTTCACCTGGCAGGGGTCATGTCGCAACAGAAAATGGTCGAGGGTGTCCCAACCGCCCCCCACCCTGACCATCATGTGCCGCCCCTTTAGTAGTCTCACGAACACATTCTTGCCGGCGATGTTGTATTTGCCCTCGCCGACCTTTTGCACCCTCAACTTGTCACATTTGGCGCCCGCGCAGCTGCATCCTCGCTGGACGAGCTTCGCGGCTAGTTGCACCTTGCGGTCAAGCTCGGTGGTGAAGTGCTTTGTCGGGGTGTCTCCACCGCCACCTGTGAGAACGATCGGTTTATTCTACTATATACCCCAGGTAGCAGAGGCTCGTCAGAGTGACGTCATTTTTGAGTCATAAGTACTACTCGTCAGTGGTCCGAAAACACGTTAAATTGGCGTAAAAAAAAGGATCTTATTAACATCACAAAAATGACTTGATTAGAATGTTGTCATAATATGACTTGATTAATTCCAGATATGGATGTTAAACTTAATAATTAACTTAAACTATTATCAAATTCTTCTATTTGAAACCATGATGTAGGAGAATATACCTAAACCCTAGATATAGATGTGTCAAAGTAATATATCCCGTTTAATTTTTTTTTTTGAGAAAAATGTCAAATACAAAAGGTGTAGATGAGTACTATTTGGAAAACTTCTGGATTCCTCCTGAATCATTCTGTTGGCTTCCTCAGAGCTTAACTAAAACTGGCTCTGAAGAAGCCAACAGGATGATTAAAAGAAACGATTTATAATTATTTTCAAATATACAGTGTGGTTCGTAAATGCATAGAAAACCAAACGTATATATACTTCCTTTTATCATCATCAATCATCCAATGTATATGTAAACTTATCATGGACTATACCCAGTGTTTTCTATTTTATTATGCCTACAATTTTACAAAATGGTACCGTCTATCCTTGTCTTGAAGTTAGTTCGGAGTCAGAATGATAAATGATACTTCTTGAAAAAATCAAATAGAAGGCCTGTATATTATACTTTCATTGTTAATTTTTTTCAAAGAAAAGCTCATCTTTATTCATTAACTATAATTCTCCATTTTCTGCAAAAAATGTTCAATGTAATTTTCTTTACTTACTTACTCTAATTTACTTCCGATGTAATGACAAAAATCTGACTTTAATTTGACTAAAAAAGATGTCAATTAAATGACAAAAATTGATGTAATTGATGTGACTTAAATTCGTCTGAGATATTAGTAGGTTAAATTCACGTCCTGCTGACGTCATATATAACGTCATTTTCGTCATTTGATGAGTAGTTAATGAGGTCGTTTTGAAGACCCTGTGTTATCGGGGACGCTACGTTTCTCTTGGTAAAATGTCAATGCCACATTAAAAATTGATTGAAAACTATCTCTAGAAGCTCAAAGTAGCACAGAACACCACGATTACTACCACCAGTAAATTGCGTTACTATGAAAACTTACCCCCCTCTGTCTTTACCATGTCGACCACATCCAAATCGGGGTCTTCCCCGCTGCCCCTCGACCATTCTTCGTCTTCGGTATGGTCGCTGGGTACCCCGTCGCTGGTCCCCGTGGGCAACGAACCCAGACCGTTATCCCCCGCCCCCGATCCCATCAGAATCACATGGGGACCTGTGTTCCATCTCTCCAAGTATGACGAGATCGCCGAGGTCGATCTGGAAAATCACAAGCATCTCTTTCCCACGTATACTGTGTGCCAGTTTAATTTTTTGAGTTCGACCAACATCACTCATTTTTTTTAAATACATACCCGCTTCTTGTTTGTGTCAGAAATTGATTAAAATTAATTTAAGATCTAAAACACGATCTTTTTCTATAAAAGTAGCTTTATTTGAACTTTTTTTTCGTAAAATCATTTAACCCGCCACACCCTTGATCTTTATTACCAAACACTTTTATATCTCCTAAATAAATAACCTGCATCAGCGAAAGTACCGCGCGATGAATTTATCTTGATAACATTTTAATTGACTGAAACTTTTTGTTTTTAGAGATATCACGCTAATCAAAAAAACCAAAGGGAGGGTTAGTAGCCAAGTGTTTTTCCAAGTTACGTATAAAACATAACACCATCAATTTTCTGACAAATAAGCTTTCATCATATTTTTTTAAATTTTATTCCGATTGCAATGATGTAACACACTTTATATTTTAGTCCACTCGCTTTTGACAAATTGAAAAAAATGGGAAATTTTTATATAATTGATTGACTGCAACAACAATAATTATTTACAAATTAAAGTAGAAGAAGACACATTAAAGTATAAAATTATTTAACTATTCTAAATACATTTCTCATACAATCTAATTGTATGATGTCTTGCATCTAGTAACGTTTCCGGATTGTCTTTTAACTTTTAATTGTTTGCCGAAGTTCCACGACAATATTACAAGGACTTCTGTGCACGTGATTTTTTATGTCTCCCCAAAAGAAAAATCCATTAAAGTTAAGTCGGGGCTGTTGGCTGGCCAATTCATAGTACCGCCGTTCCCTATCCAACCCCTGGGATTTTCCATGTTAAAAAAATATTTAATGTGCACAACATTGTGTCTTGCTGTCATATAATTAGGGGTGAATCTTCTATATAATGTTCTATTTGGTGCTCCAAGAGCTGCAAATAATGATCTCCAGTTAAATATCGGGCCCAAATTATGCCCATCTATGACACCACACCATACATTAATTGACACCCCTGAGTTTTTATTTTGTGTATTTGTAAGACCAATATCGCGTATTTTGTCTATTACAACCCTTTCTATTATTCTCACTCTATTTAAAAAATCCAAACAAAACTGTATCCTCCTTTGACATTGTTCTGCACTTAGTTTTTGAGCTTTACGAAATTTAAATGCAATTATATTTATATTCTTTCAAAACTGAGTGTCTCTTCATATACTCTATAAATAGAGGAAACTGGATATTCTTGCCTTATTTTCTTCATTTAAAACATTATGATTCCGGCATACCTTTTTTGCATTTAATACGTTACCGTTTTCTCCAAATTTCTTTGCCAGCCTTGGAACTATCTGTTTTGCAGGACCTCGATGCTCTGGATAAAGTCTAATATACTGACAACGAGCTCAGGTTGCACTTTTATTATTCAGAAAGTATACTCGAAGCATATCGCTCCTTTCACGGATGCTAAATTCGCGAAAAACCATTTTAACAATAACAACATAAACATATTTTTATTTATTTATTTGTCAAAAACGAATGGACTAAAATATAGAGTGTGAAAAAAATAACAAAAATGAAATGTTAATAGTAGTTATTCTTATTCTTCAGCAGTAGATAAAATTATACAGTAAAAAACACATAAAATGTAACGAATTGCAGAGCAAAGAGGGTATGCAACCTACAAAAAAAGTTCAACAAATCGCAACTGCGCAGCGAAGTTACGAACAGAGACGAGATAGCTATCAAAACATAAGTCCATGTCTGGTCGCCATTTTTATGCAACAACTGTTATCCATAAATGCTATTCTACCTAATTGGTATTCGAAGAATTATTATTTCTACTGATGTACCCAAGGCCTCCTCCTTCAAAATCCAGCCATAGCAGAATTTTTGTTCAGAATGTCAAAACTTTCACCTGGTCACCACACATATGCCGTTTCAAATATTTTTAATGTTATTAAGTATTGCTTAAAAACATATTGCATAATTACCTTCTCACTAATTACAAATTTGAGTAACAAGAAGTGTCAAGCGTTGTAAAAATGATTTCTTTTTGTTGTCTGATGACGCTTAGCATAGTACGTTTTACAGTTATTTTAAGTAATTGTTTTATTTTGTAGAAGCGTTAGGTTACGCTAAAAATATTATATTTTATTTTTAATATAAAACATAAATAAAATGAATAACGTTAACATTATGACTCCAGGAAACGTGCGAGATCCAAGACTATAACTTTATATATTATATACAGGGTGTGTCGAATATGGGCAAAAAAATCTAAAAGATCTAAAACAAAAATCAAATTAAATTTATCAATCGAAAACTATAAACGGTATAGTAAAATTGTATATAGTAACTCTTTTTTAATTTCCTGTTCTCCGTTTCTCTGTCGATGGAGCATTAAATCGCCATATCTATCGAACCGAGCTACGGCGTTCAGAAAAAACCCACTAGACACATAAACCCATGAAAGATGGCCGCGATCGGACCTCGGCGTCTATTTTTTTTTTAGATTTTTGACTGTCTTGAAGTGTCCGAAATTTGGCGCTATCAACTTAGAATTTGACAAACATATAGAGCTTGGCTCCCTTACGAAGCCTAATGAAAGTAAAGGGGGAGGGGAGGGGGAGGGTCGGAAAGTACTAAATGCGATTGGAATTGAAACTATGGATTGGCCACAAACCAGTCCCGATCTAAACCCAATTGAAAATATTCGGGACGTGATCTACAGGTGTACAACTTCATATCCTTGAAATGAATAAATAATTTGAACCAAAAGGAGATAAGGCATGTAAATTCAAACACAAATAACCGTTAAAGTGCTGTTATTCAAAATGGAGCGGAACTACCCGTAATTAATTATTTTTAAGTAATCGTTATCTTCCTTTGTCATTTCATATGTTTAATACTCTTAAGTTAAACTAAAAATGTACCTAACTAATTCCTGAAAGTATTTAAGTATTATGAAATAAAAGAAAATTTCGAAACAGAAATATAACATACTGGGTGTTACATTTAGAAAATATGATGTAGGCAGAAAAGCGATAGTAGATACGTAACTTGGAAAAAAACTTGGCTACTAACGCTGCATTTTGTTTTTTTCTTTATCTTGATATCTCTAAAAACAAAGAGGTTACAGCCAATTAAAACGTTATCAAGATCAATTGAACGCACGGTACATAAAGAAGAATAATAAACACTGACCATAGTATTTTCAAATTTTTCTACTCCCCGATCCAACTTACCGGCTGTGGGTCATCTTAAAGTCGGGCGAGGCGGCGGTCGGGCGGGCAGGAGCCGCCTGGAACTGCCATGAGAGCAGCGAGCTTAACCCGGAATCGACCCCGGAGTTGTTCCTCTCCTGCTCGACGATTTCCTTCTCAAGCTGAACGAGCCCGGGGGGTTCTACTCCGTACCTGGTCGCTATCCGCGCCACCTCCAGAAGGCAAAGGATTACGTTGCGCGGTTGGTGATGCAACACTAAGACGGAGCGGGGTTGCAAATTAAAAAAAATATATTATTACATTATGGCCCGGGAGGGACGCATTGTACAGTTTTGCGAAGACACTTTTCGTACACCCTTACTTACTTATATACCTTACTTATATACCGGGTGTCTTAAGTAATTACGGTTGCCCAAAATTAAATAAACCAACCAAATTTTCATCGCCTTTCATTTTTTTTAATCCTTAAGAGATAAACTAAAGATAAATGTCGTACCTAGGTCGTCGCTCTCGAAGAGGAGATTCTCGTGGACGCCGAGCGAGCGACAAAACTTGATAAAATTTGCAACATTGTCGCGCGAGAAGAAGCTCCTCCTCATCGCCTTCTCAAAGCATTTTCCGCGGACGTTCGGGATCGCCTTTATAAGACGGAAACATTTTCTTAAAAGTTTTATTTTGCTCGTCGCTTCCGCCGCCGCCACTCACCCCTTTCAGCGACCCCGAGCGCACTGCCCTTTTCGCCGCGTCGCATATGGCCTGCGCCAGGTGGCAGACGATCACCCCGTTGTCAAGCTCGTCGAGGAAGTTCTCGCGGTTTATGTAATCGATCTCTGGAACGCCGACGAGAAATTTCAAAGTTAATATATATACATATATAATATATACGTCGACGTTGAGTAACGTCGACGCGAGCAAACCTCGCGTATCGGTATTATTATTATTTTAAACTCTTATATATATTTTAACTGTTTCGTTAACTTTGTGTGTATTATGTGTGTGAGTGCCGTATACAAATCATTTTTTGTTGGACTTTTATCCTTTATCAAGGGCACTATGACAAAACCAAACGCTTTTAAAGTATAAACTTCCATATGATGCTACCTCTTCAATTTTAAGATTTGTGTTTGTCTCTTTTTGACTGTGTCCCTTTCTGAAGAAGGTCATAGAAGACCGAAACGTCAATATATGGACAAAAAATTTTAATCGCTTTTAATACAAAGACCTATAACCCAAGAACCAAAAGCTAAACATAAATATAGAGAAGGTCTAAGAAAAAACAAAATATAAACTATATATATATATATATATATATATATATATATATATATATATATATATATATATATATATATATATATATATATATATGTCGCATTTTTCCCAACTGTACGCCACTGAGGGTTGATTAATTAGGCGCACCCTCCCCGTCGCGCACATATGCTTAACATCTATTTTACAAAGTCCGTGTTGCCGCATTGCCGGTGCTCGAATTATACGCAAAACGAGAGCTGAACAGTTATTGATGAAATAATGTATAGGCGCATGGCTATATGGCAACAGAATATATTCAAACTCCGTTAGTAGTGATAGTTTGGTGCACTGAAAAATTGTATAATCAGATTTTGAATAGCACCTGTAGTTTCGAAGCTATGAGGGAAAATTGCGATTGTAAAAATTTCTCATTTATTCCCTAGCATGACAGATATAAGGTTGTTCGGAAAGTCATTTCGTTTTTTCCCGTCAGAGAACTTAATTACGTTTTTTCGAAACCAACTTCACACTTAAGCCGCATAACCATTATATGTCTTGAGAGCTGATATTGCAAGGCTTGTGTGTGAAAAAGTTCTATTAATTCTACGCAGTAGTTTTTGGTTGGTGCCCTTTTAAATATGGAGAGCAATAAGCAGCATTTTCGTCATATTTTACTTTTTTACTTCAGAAAAGGTAAAAATGCTGTCCAAGCGAGAAAAAAATTGACGGATGTGTATGGAGAAGGCGTGTTAACAGTACGCCAGTGCCAGAACTGGTTTGCAAAATTTCGGTCCGGCAATTTTGATGTCGAAGATGCACCACGGTCTGGAAGGCCGGTCGAAGCTGACAAAGATGCGATAAAGGCATTAGTTGATGCATATCGGCGAATAACCACACGAGAAATCGGTGAGAGATTAAATTTGTCGAATTCGACTGTTTATGGCCATTTGAAAGGCATGGGCTTAACCTCGAAGCTCGATGTGTGGGTGCCCCATGTCCTTACGGAGCGAAATTTGTGTCGTCGCGTTGACGTGTGTGATTCGCCCCTCAAACGTCAAGAAAATGATCCATTTTTGAAGCGGATTATTACTGGGGACGAAAAATGGGTTGTATACAACAATCTTAAACGCAAGAGGTCATGGAGCAGAAAAGATGAACCGGCTCAAAGCGTGTCAAAAGCCAACATTCGCCAAAAAAAGGTGATGCTCTCCGTTTGGTGGGATGTCGAAGGAATCGTTTTTTTTGAGCTTTTGCCGGACAATACAACGATTAATTCAGAAGTCTATTGTCATCAACTGGAAAAATTGAATGATTCACTTAAATGAGAAGAGGCCCGAATTAATCAACACGAAGGGTGTAGTGTTCCACCAGGATAATGCGAGACCTCACACAAGTTTGGTCACTCGCCAAAAACTTTTACAGCTTGAATGGGACGTACGGCAACATCTACCATATTCTCCAGATCTGGCGCCTTCCGACTACTATTTGTTTCGGTCCCTGCAAAATTTTTTGGATGGCAAAACCTTTACCTCAAATGAAGATGTCAAAAACCACCTGAACCAGTTTTTTGCCAGCAAGGACCAAAACTTTTATGAGAGGGGAACTATGTTACTGCCAGAAAGATGGCAAAAGGTGTTGGACCAGAATGGCCAATATATAATTTAATAAAATATTTATTCATTATACGAAAACTGTCTTTCATGTTCCCCAAAAAAAACGAAATGACTTTCCGAACAACCCAATACTTTGATTTTGAAAATACGTTTTTCTACTCCCGTCTGAAAAATGCCTAATTACACACCGATCTAGCGTGCTGAAAGCGCCACTTTACCACGTAAGTTTCGTTTCCCACGGATCCGAGCCATTTCGGACATTTCCGGGATTTTACTGCAATCGGATATTTTCGGAGATATTTCCCACGCCTTGAATTTTGACGTTTGTTAATTCTGACAGTCATGTCAGTGAATGTATTCGTGTTGTTTTGCGAAAATGTACCCAAAAACTATCGGTCGTAGAAAAATTATAGTATGCAACACGTTCGGTAAACTTTTTAAGTCAGTCGTTTATTAAACACTCGCTCCGCTGGTGTCCAATAAACTTGTGCATGATATACTATTCATTGCAGCATTTCGATAGAAATGAAATGACGCATTTAAAATTTTAATTCGAAGTTCTGATTTTTGAGATCCGTTGTCGGAGTGAAGATTTTTGATGAAACTGTAATATTCTTTATTATTGCTTTATGCTCTCTGTCATCCTTATTAAAAAAAAATGAGACAATAACACCTGTGGAATAAGATGGTTCCTTACCTTAGCAAGTTATGTTTTTGATTATTAATATCACGTTGCTTCAAGCTCATGTGTTTTCGATCAAAAGGAAATCATAAAGACAAGATAACCCAAGATCACAAAATGGTGTTCTTTTAAGATGTCCGTTTTTTTGTAAGTTCAAATTAAATTTTATTGTTTTTTGCATTTGGAAGCATTTTTCTTAATAACGGCACATTATCTTATAATTTGAATTACTTATTAACAAATCCATTTGAAAAATCTTGAAATTAATTTTTGTTCAGTAATTGCTTTAACTTTAATATTCCGAGGTAACATCGAGGTGCTGGTTGAAATCACGGGAAGGTGGAAGTGTAAAATTATTATACATCTATATACAACACCAAATCGGAGACATTTTGCAAGAAGAAGAAGAATGTGATAAGGCTGTCGTATTAAATTGTTTATTATAATTTTGAGAGAATCCGAAGATACAAAAATAATACACAAAGTGCATAATAAATGGAATCAGGTGAACCCACGGAAAATTGAGTTGGCAACATGGATCGCGACATCGTAATAAATCGGTCGGCGCGACACCGCTGTTGGCTTCGTCGCGCATCGATGTTTCCCACATTTTAGGCCGGAGTTCCTTCTGTTGCTGCTGCATCGTATTACCACCATCCTGTCTGCCTTGCATTGAACTACAGACTACCCTTTAACGCAGAGGCGACACTTAAGAAAGTATGCGTCGATAATACGATACAAGACAATACAACGCCGCTGAAATAAGTATTAACAATTTAGTTTATCAGTCTATGGTCTATTATGCAAAATTTTGCACTGAGAGATGTCTGACATGACTGTCAGACTTGACAAATGTCAAAATTGAAGCCGTGCGTAATATCTGTGGAAGCATTCGATTGTTTCCAGGAGTAGAAAATAGTATATTATGCAAAAGGTGCGGTAAACGGCATTTGACTTACGAGTTTATTTGACACGAGCGGAGCGAGTGTTTAATAAACGAGTGATTTAAAAAGTTTACCTAACATGTTGCATACTATATTTTTTCTACGAACTAAAGTTTTTGGGTACTTTCTTACAAAACAACTTGAGTAATTGGGTAACGTCTGACATAACCGTCAAAATTGACAAACGTCAAAATTTAAGCCGGGGCAAACATTTCTCCCAAACCCGTTAAGTAAAAAAACTGGAAATGTCCGAGGCAGGCATAGGTAACGAAAGTGAAGTCGTAAAATGACACTTCCCCCACTCTCGATCCGTGTATAATTGGGTAATACAGAGGGGAAGTAGAGGGTACATCTTGGCAAAACAACAATGTCCGAAATGAAGGGCATCGGATCCATGGAAAAAGAAACTCATGTGGTAAAATGAAAGGAAGCAGAAAATGGTATATTATGCAACAAGTGCTGTAAACGGCATTTGTTACGAGCAGAGCGAGTGTTTAATAAACGAGTGACTTAAAAAGTTTACCGAACATGTTGTATACTATACTTTTTCTACGACCGTTAGTTTTTGGATACATCTTCGCAAAACAACACGAATACATTCACCAAACCCGTGCGGTAAAATCCCAGAGATGTCTGAAGTGGCTCGCATTCGTGGAAAACGAAACCGACGTGGCAAAGTGACGCTTCCCGCACGCTAGATCGGTGGGTAATTAGGTATTTTACAGCCGGGAGTAGAAAATAGTATATTATGCAACAAGTGCGGTAAACGGCATTTGACTCACGAGTTTATTTGACACGAGCGGAGCGAGTGTTTAATAAACGAGTGAGTTAAAAAGTTTACCGAACGTGTTGCATACTATACTTTTTCTACGACCGTTAGTTTTTGGGTACATTTTCGCAAAACAACACGAATACATTCACTGACATGACCGTCAGAACTGACAACCGTTAAAATTCAAGGAGTGGGAAATATCTCCAAAACCCGTGCGGTGAAATCCCGGAAATGTCCGAAACGGCCCAAATCCCTGGGAAACGAAACTGGGGGAATAGAAAAACTTTACGTAAAATACCTAATTACACACTGATATAGCGTGCGGCAAGCGTCACCTTACCACGTCAGTTTCATTTCCCACGGATTCGAGCCCCTTCGGACATTTCCGGGATTTAACCGCACGGGTTTGGGAGCAATCGGATGTTTTCGGAGATATTTCCCACGCCTTGAATTTTGACGTTTGTTAATTCTGACAGTCACGAATGTATTCGTGTTGTTTTGCGAAAATGTAACCAAAAACTAACGGTCGTAGAAAAAGTATAGTATGCAACAGGTTCAGTAAACTTTT